TCAATATTCTGGTTCTATCTGACAGAATTTCACTCCTATTAATAAGGTTTTCGTTGGCTAGACATTCAGGAGTCGTCCACCTCTCCTTCTGCTGAGTCTTAGTCTAGGAAGCTCAGCTGAAATCTTTCCACCATGGGTGACCCTGTCTGCATTCAAAATACAGGTGGCATTGTTTCCAGTATCACAGCAACATGAATTACCTATTGTTGTTGTTGTTATTAAATGCTGTTGAGTCAGTTCTGACTCATAGAGACTCTGTATAGGGTTTCCGAGGAGCAACTGGTGAGCTTGAACCACCAACTTTTCAGTTCAAACAGATCTTGCAGTCCAGTGCCACACCAGGACTTGACTCCTGTTGTTGTTGTTAAGTGCCATCTAGTTGGTTCCAACCCATAGCAACCCTGTATAGGGTTTCCGAGGAGCAGTTGATTAGCTTGAACCACCAACTTTGCAGTTCAAACAGCTTTGCAACCTGGTGCATTAACCCACAGCCCCACACCAAGACTTCTGTACGTCACCATTATTACAGTACTCTGGATATAACAGTATTTACTTTACTTGCCTTTAAGTCTTGCATTCCTCTCCCTGTCTTCCCCTGCCTCTACCATTTGTTTGTTTGTTTTGGCCAACCTCCCTCCTATTGCATATTTCCTTCACATTTACCAAGTTAACGTATGCACTGGATTTCTAGCTAGAAGGCTCAAATCCACCAGTCGCTCTTTGGAAACTCTATGCAGGGTCACTATGAGTCAGAACCAATTCATCAGCACTTAACAACAACATACTCTATTGTTCTTTTTTATTAGAATTTATGTTGTTGTTATTGTTGTTAAGTGCCGTCGAGTTGATTCCGACCCATAGCGACCCTGTACAGGGTTTCCGAGGGTGTAAATCTTTCCGGGAGTAGAAACCCTCATCTTTCTCCCGCGGAGCAGCTGGTAGTTTCGAACCGCTGACCTTAAGGTTCGCAGCCCGATTCATAACCACTAGGCTACCAGAGATCCTTTATGTAGTGATGATTAAATTCTTAGGCATATTTATTGCACTTTGTATGTTCCCTAAGCTAAGAATCTCTCTGGCATATAAATTCTAAAGCAAATGGAAGAAATGAGGAGGTAAAAGAGCTGAACAGAAAATTTCAAAGTTCAGCTCGAGAACAAAAAGTCATATATTATAATGAAATGTGCAAAGGCCTAGAGTTAGAAAACAAAAAGGGATGAATATGCTCAGTATTTCTCAAATTGAGGGAACTGAAGAAAAATTTCAAGCCTTGACTTGTAATATTGAAGGATTCTATGGGCAGAATAGTGAATGATGCAGAAAGCATCAATAGAAGATGGAAGGAACACACAGTCACTGGATCAAAAACAAACGGTCAATGTTCAACCATTTCAAGAGATAGAATATGATCAAGAGCCAATGATACTGAAGGAAGATGCCCAGGTACACTGAAAGCATTGGCAAAAATCAAAGCTCTTGGAATTGCTGGAATACAAAATGAAATCTTTCAACAAACTGCTGCAGCACTGGAGACACTTGCTCCTCTATGCCAAGAAATTTGGAAGACAGCTACCTGACTCAATGATTGAAAGAGATAAATATTTGTGCCAATTCCAAAGAGAGGTGACCCAATGGAATGTGGAAATCATTGGATAATATCATTAATATTGCATACAAATAAAATTTTGCTAAAGATAATTCAAAAATGGCTGCAACAATACATTGACAGGGAACTGCCAGAGGTTCAAGCAGGATTCAGGCGAGGATGTGGAATGAAGGATATCATTGCTGACATCAGCTGGATCTTGGCTGAAGGCAGAAAATGCCAGAACTATGTTTGCCTCTGCCTTACTGACTACGCAAAGGCTTTCAATTGTGTATCATGACAAGCTATGGACAACATTGTGGAGAATGAGTATTCCAGAATGCTTAATTATGCTCATGAGGTACTTGTGCATAGACCAAGAGGCAGTAGTTCAAACAGAACAAGGGGACACTGAATGGTTTACAGTTAGGAAAGATTTGCACCAGGGTTGTATTCTTCCACCGGAATTATGCAATTTGTATGCTGAGCAGAGAATTCTAGAAGCTGGATTATATGAAGAAAAACATGGCATCAGGGTTGGAGGAAGACTCATTAACAACCTGCAATATGCAGATGATACAACGTTGCTTACTGAAATAAAGAGGACTTAAAAATATTTGCTGTTGAAGGTCAAAATCCATAGCCTTCAGCATGTGTTGCAACTCAATATAAAAGCAACAACAATAAACAAATAAAGATCCTCACCACTGGACCATTGAACAGCATCATGATACGTAGAGAAAAGATTGAAGTTGTCAAAGACTTAATTTTGCTTAAATCCACTATCAACGCTCATGGAAGCAGCAGTCAACAAATGAAATGATATATTGCAATAAGCAAATCTGCTTCAAAAGGCCCCTTTAAAGTATTCAGAGTGAAGATGTCAGTTTGAAGACTGAGATGCAGCTGACCCTTCAAGTCATGATATTTTCAATATCCTCATATGCATGTGAAAGTTGGACAATTAAGAAGGAAGATCATAGAAGAATTGATGTTTTTGAGTTATGATGTTGGATAAGAATATCAAAAGTGCAATGGACTGCTAAAAAATAGAAACAAATATGTGTAGAAAGAAGTACTGTCAGAATAGAATTCTCCATAGAAGTCAGGATGGTGAGTTTAGTGTTTCATACTTCATACATATTATCAGGAAGGACCAGTCCCTGGGGAAGGATAGCATGTTTGGTAAAGTGGAGAGTGAGCATAGAAAGGGAAAAATCCTCAACAAATTGGATTGGCACTGTGGCAGCAGTAATGGGCTCAAGCATAACAACAATTATGACGATGGTGCCAGACCAGACAGGGTTTCTTTCTGGTTTGCACAGGATCTCTATCGGTGGGAACCGATCAACAGACCCTAACAACAAAAACAGCAGGCTATGAGAGATGAGGCTGTCTGCTCTTGTGAAGATTAACGGTCTCAGAAATCTTAGATTTTTGAGGGCCACTGTTATGGGAATTCACTCAGTGGCAGAGGGTTAGATTTGATTACGATGGCTCTATACCTAATACCACTACCAGTTGCTATTGAGTTCATTCTGATTCATGATAAACCCTTGGGTATCAGAATAGAACTATGTTCCTTAAGGCTTTGAGCAGCTGATTTATCAGTCATAGATCACCAAGCTTTTCTTCTATGGTGCCTCTGGGTGGACTCAAACCAATAACGTTTCAGTTAGCAGTCAAGGACATTAACATATGTACTACCCAGGGACTCACTAGTGCCTAAGGTTGTTGTTAAGTGCCATTGAGTAGGTTCTGACTCATATCAACCTTGTATAGAGTTTCTGAGGAGCAACTGGTGGGCTTGGACTGCTGATCTTGTGTTAGCAATCCAGTGTTTTTCCTACATTGCCACACCAGAACTCCTATTACCTAATATCAGTATTAAAATAGTAGCTAAGCACAAAAGGTTGAAAGAGTTAAAGTTATTCATTCTGGGAAAAGACATACAAATAGTATTGTGATTCAAGGACCATAGAAAATAACAATTACTTAATCACATTTTTTCCAATTAAAAGAAAAAGAAAGAGGAGGGAAGGAAGAAATGAGAGATGGATGGATGAAGGGGGAAAGAACTATTCATTATTTATGAAGCATTTGGTGACAGTTTCCTCCTACAAAGGAATATTAGATAAAACACTCCCAAAAAATGATCTAAAAGTGGAAAAGACAGTATTACCATCAAGTGAGATTTCAGGAAACTTCATTTACTCTTTGATTGCTAATATTGATAAATATTTGGCACACGCAAGGAGAAATATAATTGGGATTATAATTTGTATGAGTCCAAGAATGAAAACCAGTTTGTCCATTCCAAAAATTCGTTAAATGTTTTTAGTGTTTATGCAACAGATTTTTTACTACATAAAAAAAAAAAAAAAAAAAGCCTCTTATCTCTGTAAGTCTCTTGAAGCTTGGTCCAGTTAGTGGAATTGATTGGGTCATAAGGTTGGTCTAAAGTAATTACATTCAATTTTAAAAGGAATTCTGCAAGCCACAAAAATTTATATACACATGTACTAATTGTCCCACTGTCCTAATCTGAGAAGTTTATCATAAATAATTAATTTAGAAGGATAAAGACATACGACCATATGCAACTAGGTATTTACTGAAGCATTGTCTTAATAATAAGATTCTAGTAACAACCTAGGTGTCCATGAAAACTACTGTTGTGTTATATATTGCCTCCACCCATCAGAGAGTCCATTGTACTGTGGTGACTTGTGTGCTGCTGTGATTTTGGAAGCGATAACATTGTAATTCAAACACCAGCAGGTTCAACCATGGTTGATAGATTTCAGTAGAACAAACATGCTGGAGTCCTGGTATGATTTTGAAGGTTAATGTGTTTAACTGCAAGGTCAGCAGTCCAAGCTCACCAGCTGCTCCTCAGAAACCCTATACAGGGTCACTATGAGCCAGAACCAACTTGACAGCACTTAACAATAACAACAGGCTATGACACACCAGAAATAAAAGCTTCACGGTCCACTTCCAATAATTCGTCATTGCACAAGAGAACATTGTCTGACAGAGAGCATAAAAATGAGATCCATAGGTTAAAAGGAACTACACAATAAACGCAACAATGAACTCAAACCTAACAGTGATCACAAAGATGGCGCAGAACATCCTGTGCATTCTGTCATATACAAAGTTGCTATGAGTCTGAGCCTACTTCTAGACAACTAACAAATACAACAATGTATGAAAAAGTCCATATCTATGAAAAATGAGTGAACACATTTTATTATTAAAAGAGAGGGATGCCCTTAGATATTATCAAAAGTGAGGAACTTAATAAATTAAATTTACATATTCATACCAAAAAGGCATGTGTTTTCACCAATTATTTAATTAATGTAAGAGCAATTGAGCAATTACCAAATAGCTTAAGATTTTTAAATAGTCAAACTATGTGTAAAACCAGTTTCCTTTGCCATAATTTCACCAAGGCTCTTTTCATCTCACGGTTTCGCAAGCTGTAGATCAGTGGATTCAGCAGAGGAGTGAGTAATGAGTAAGACAATGACATCAGTATTTTGGTTTCTGGGGAGTAGCTAGATTTGGGCTGTAAATAAGTCATAATGGCTGTGCTGTAGAAGAGGGTCACAGATGTGAGATGGGAGGCACAGGTGGAAAAGGCCTTTTGCCTCCCTGTGGTTGATGCCATCTTCAGGATGGCAAAAAGAATTCGAATGTAGGATAAGAGTATCAGCAAGAAAGGAACCATAACAATTAAAATGGTGCCAGTGAATGCATAAATTTCAAAGAAGGAGGTGTCTGCACATGCAAGCTCTAACACTGGAGGGGTTTCACAGAAAAGATGATTGATTTCATTGGGACCACAAAAAGGAAAACTAAACACCCATGGGGTTTGCATACTGGCTATCATGAAACTCAAGGTCCATAAAGAAATCACTAATTTCACAAAAACTCTTTTGTTCATAATCATTGGGTAGCTCAGAGGATGGCAGATTGCAGCAAATCGGTCATAAGCCATTGCCCCCAGAAGAAAACATTCTGTCACACCAAAAAAAAGAATGCAATACATCTGTACAAAACAACCAGCAAAAGAAATTGTCGCTCTTTCTGTGGAGAGGACCACCAGCATTTCAGGCATAATGGCTGCACTGAAACTCACTTCCACCACAGATAAGTTCTGGATGAACAAGTACATGGGGACATGAAGGCTCTGATCCTGGTAGATGATGATGAAGATTAGGGCATTTCCCAGCAGTGTCACCATATAAATAAGGATGAAAATCCTAAATAGCTGTTCTTGGACTTCAGGAAAGTTAGAAAATCCCAAGAGTATGAATTCAACTACAGAGCTTTGGTTTTGCCTTTTCATTTTAGTAGTGGAGTACATGTTGCTTTGATGGAAATAGTATATAAAATTTGAAGACACAATTCAATAGCTGAGTATCCGTATCTGCATTCACCAGAGGAATTCTTGGCAGAAAATGTGATGATGAGCCCATCATGACTGAATTTGGGGTTGCCAATTTTGGAGTAAAGCCAGTTACTCAGATTAATGAATACTTCAAATTTGAATGAAAAATTGAAGAATTTTGGCTCAGAAATCATGCTTGACAATTGCAAAATAATAGTAGAGTTCTGTTGCAGGTTGTAGACTATGTAGTTCAAAATTTAAATATATCCTTGAATCAAGCATAGATATTTGTTTCCTCAGATTTTATTCTCATATCACTTCTCTATTTATCATCTTCTCTCCTCAATTTTATTTGAATATAGAATTTAATGAGGTGTTTAGAAGTTACTATATTTGTTGTTTAGTGCCATTAAGTCTGTATAGCATCCTTGTATAGAGGCTCAGCGCGTCCCTGTATAGGGTTTCTGAGGAGCAACTGCTGTGTGGGAGTCACCAACCTTGCAGTTCAAACAGGCCTTTTGGTCGAATACTTATCTTACAGCACCACACCAGGACTCCTGTTTGAAAGTAGGCAAATGGAATAAGATACCCACTAAAAAAATTTTATAACATACTAATAATTCAAAGAAAGAGCAAAGTTGATATGTATTTATAATAAATATTAACTTCAAAATACCTATATGCTCCTTGGTTAAATGTAACAATATAAAGAAGAAATGCACAAAGGAAACGGAGTTTTAGTTGTAACTATCTCACTTGTTACTTGGCTTCAGGATTATTGATTGCCCAGGATAGACCTGGTCACTTATATTCAGATCTGCTGGATGGGAAATCTCTAGTGTCAAATTTCTATAGCCCTTGACTGTGACTAAAGTGGTTTGCAGAGCTTAAATAAAGTGCTACGTTTTTTGGTCATTGTAAACCTTTGATTTAAATTTTGTTGTCTCTTTCCTTTCTTTTCATACTCTCTCCCTCTTCAAGGAGTCCATTTAATCATTAATCATTCAATGAACAGTGATGCACTTAACAATTTTTGAGGCTGTGAACACTCTAAGGTCTACATTTGAGCCCAGAGATCAACATAAAGCGCTTTCCTGAAATATTATTGTATAAAATAACAACCCAGGTCTCTCTAACTCCTCTCTCTTATACCTTGTTAATTTTTCCATTATCATCATCAACTCACATTCTATATCTATACAGTGTGTTCATAATGCTTACAGTAACACTGAACCAAAATAGCTGATAAACCAATATCTGTTGAATAAATGAAAATAAAAATTAGGAAATCCTGGCTCTACTTTAAGGAGTACGGTGTCCACAAAGACAATAAAGCCAGTACATAACTACTAGGAAGCATGACAAATAACAATGGTTTACATATTTAAAGAGAGTACTAACTTTTGAATGGGAAAGGAGGGCAAGTAATTGTAATCCTAAAAAGTCTTGGTTGGTAGAGCCACTAAGAAGATGGAAGGCATTTGAAGGAAGGTTGACTTGTTCAAGTCTAAGTGACAACATAGAATAGAGAGCTTTTGATCTTTGAAACAAGCAGTTTCACAGTGACACATGAAGTTGGGAAGCTGAAAGGTTATATCATGCTGACAATATAATGTGTTCTTAAATTCAAATCTTTATTACTTTAGTAGTGTCTAGGGGAGAAAGGCTACCCCATCTTCAAATATATAAATATGATAGACTTATAAATTTTAAATAGGGTGTAAACAAGACAAAACCTATATCACTTGGTTGAGGGAAATCATCAGATATCATGATGAAAAATCATGATTTTTCACACGTGATTTTTATTGTTGTTGTTGTCAGGTGCCATCGAATCGGAACCGACTCATAGCAACCCCATGCACAGCAGAACAATACAATGTCCGATCCTGGGCCAACCTCACTACCGTTGCCACACTTGAGTCCATCAATGAAGCCACCTGGCCAATCCATCTCGTTAGCGGTCTTCCTCTTTTTCTCTAACCCTCCACCTTACCCAGCATGACATCTTTCTCCAATGATTGTTTATAGGGCACAGAAAATAAAGGAATTTATTCCCACAACTACATTTGATGGCAGCAATGTGCCAAATATGTATTCTGGGTCTGAGAAAACAGGGACGGGATGAGTGTCAATAGGAACTATTACATAACTTTCAAGGTGTTGTTGTTGTTAAATACCATGGAGTCAGTTCCGACTCATAGTGACCCTGCACAGGGTTTCCGAGGCTGTAAATCTTTATGGGAGCAGAAAGCCTCATCTTTCTCCTGTGGAACAGCTGGTAGTTTCTAACTGCTAACCTTGCAGTTCACAGCCCGATTCGTAAGCACTACGCTACCAGAGCTCCTAACTTTCAGGGTGTGATGTCAAAACTAGGAGACCCCTGCAGTCATTAAGTTTTGTTCTTCCTGTGCTGACTAGCAGAAGTTATATAAAATCAACTTTCAAATATTCTGCTTCTGATCTGGCAGTTCGACTGTCAGAGCAGAGGTGTGTGAGGCAACTCAAGAAAAATTGGCATCTGTACACTTAAACCTAAGCTTAGGATGGAAATAAGCTCTGCTTGACTGGCGTCATTCTCAGGCAAAAAGTCTTCTGATTTCATGCTCTAAAACCGTAGAAAGTAGGAGGAAAGTTAGCTAATTCCTAAATTTGACCCAACTTAGATTGTAAAATCAAATGTCTATAATAATTATAATTTAGATGACAAATTGTTGTTATTGTCAAGTGTTGTCAAGTCAGTTCCAGCTCAGAGCAACCTGTATAGGGTTTTGGAGGAGTTGCTGGTGAGTGTGAATTGATGACCTTAATGTGTCAAACCAACTTTGAAGTCCTGTGCTTTTCTTACAGAAGCACCACACCAAGACTCCAGATGTAAAATACGCTCCTAAAAATAATAAGATGGATTCTCTATGCTCATATTTTTAAAACCCATTTCTAATGCGGAAAAAAAATAACATGTTTAGTTTCAAATATATAAATGCAGATAAGTTTGGAAAATTAGCAAAGTTAAGGTTCTATATAAAAATACAAAACCTTCACAGGACTGATTTAAAACATATTGTGGAACAAAATTTTGTTACTGCATTTGTGAATGGTGAAGAGTAACTGGCCATAAATACTCCATCTTTCCCCCATAACTTGAAAACTCTAATGCTGCCTTGCATAACTAAGACATGTAATTAAATACTAGGACAGATCACTATCTTGACTCATACTAAGTTATCTTCTAGTTACAACCTGTAAGATTTGATAATTAATGCATGCAAAGTACTTCTAGCTCTGCTTAGACTCCAATTTTTTGTGTGAAAATACAAGATAGAGAAGTAGATAAGCATGTATCAAAACCAGAGAGTCTACTGATTTGAATGTTTCAGTTATGGCTAATGATCCCTGAGCACTGAGCCATCACTTCAAGAGCATCACCAATTAACAATAAGAAGAACTGTAAATAGAAACTCAACAGATACTCAAGTAGAATCTTTACTTTCTTACCTACTGATTCGCCTCTTTGGTTCCCAGGCCATTTTATCCAAAGTTTTATATTTAGTTCAAAGCCACCATCTCATAAATACAACTCGGTGACTCAGTACACCAATTCGATAAGATTATATAACATCAAATTGTATGCCCTGGAGAATGTGTGATCACATTGTACACATTTTGCTGCATTTTATATGATAATCAGTCACTTAAAATTGGCCCCTCAGGTGTAAATACTCAAAAGCACCAACTCGGAGCACTACTCCTTTAGATTTCTCCAGGGAACAAATACTTTTCACTCAAGAGAATCAATTCTGTGACATCTCCCAATTCTGACATTAAGGCAGAATCTGAATAAATATTTATATTGGAGAAAAGAGGGAAAAGGAAGCTGAAGTGAGAGTGTGAACTAAATCAGACAATCTAGACGTGGACAGAATGGACAATTTATACAAAAGAGGGAAACTGGCTAAGGCAAGGTTGTCTATTTATAGAGAATCCAAATGTTGATAGTTGTTGTTGTTGTTAAATACCATGGAGTCAGTTCAGACTCATAGCGACCCTGCACAGGGTTTCTGAGGCTGAAATCTTTATGGGAGCAGAAAGCCTCATCTTTCTTCCACGGAACCACTGGTAGTTTCGAACTGCCAACCTTGAGGTTAGCAGCCCGATTCGTAACCATTACGCTACCAGAGCTCCTTAAATGTTGATAGTAGAATTTTATATAGTCTGGTATAAATATGTTGTTGTTAGGTGCCATCAAGTCAGTACCAACTCATAGCAACCCTATGCACAACAGAACGAAACACTGCCCAGTCCTGGGCCAAACTCACAATTGTTGCCACACTTGAGCCCATTGATGCTGCCACTTTACCAATCCATCTCGTTGGTGATCTTCCTCTTTTTCTCTGACCCTCCACCTTACCAAACATGATATCCTTTTCCAGCGACTGGTCTCTCCCGACAATATGTCTGACGTACAAGAGATGAAGTTTGGCTATCCTGGCCTCCAAGGAACACTCTGGCTGTACTTCTTCCAACACAGATCTGTTGGGTTTTTTGGCAGCCCATGGCACTTTCAATATTCTGCTCCAACACCATAACTCAAAAGCATCAATTCTACTATGGTCTTCCTTATTCACTGTCCAGCTTTCCATCCATATGAGGTTATTGAAAATACCATGGCTTGGGTCAGGTGCACTTTAGTCCACAAGCTGACATCTTTGCTCTTCAACACTTTAAAAAGGTCTTGTGCAACAGATTTGCCTAATGCAATATGTTGTTATGAAGTGCCATCAAGTCAGCTCCAACTCATAGCGACCCTGTATATGATTTCCGAGGAGCAGCTGATGAACTTGAACTGCCGATCTTGCAGTTTAAATGGCTTTGCTGTCTGGCACATTCACCTACAGCACCATAGAGGCACTGAAAATATTTGAGGGGGGAAAAAATCATGACAGCGTTATCTTAAAGAT